TATGTAGCAGTGTAATGACCGACCACCACACAAATTTCTTTTGTTTTATTAACACATTTTTTCTATAATTACAATTTGTATAATTTCCGTTATTTTGTTGTTGTGTGGTTTTTTTTCACATGCACCTTTCAATAGTTTTTAACCAGAATATTATGCCAACATTATTATGGTTTTGCCGTATTGTCATAACATTGCCTGCCATCTATCATCGTAGCTCAACCTGCAATATCAACCGCAACACATCAAGTCTGGCAACCGTATGGCAAATTTGTGGTTAACGACTTTTTTGTTGTTGTTCTGCTTTTGTTCAATACATTCGTTCATTAAATGAAATTGGTTATAGTTGTTAATTTATTTAGTGGTTTTATTGAAATAAATGAGTGAGTGAAAATATATTTTCAACACAAATATCATCGCTTAACCGACAGTTCATCATAAATGTTGGAAATTTTTTAAAAAACAAATAGTTATATATATATATATATTTTATCTATAAATAAATATTGTGTGTATATAAGCTGGATATAAGTGTGAATTAAAAATGTTATTGTGGTTTTTAAAAATAAATTTCGATAAAAACATAAACATAGGTATGATAGATAGCAATAATTTGCGATATAGAATAACAATTGTTTGAATGTGTGAATTTATGTTAGTACATGTGCAATTGTGGGTTTCCATTTATAAAATAAGATAAATAAAAAGTAGATTGTTTGGGCAATCGCCCCAGATTCAATTTATTTTGAAATGTATATTATAAATTAAAAAAAAAATAAAATAAATATGCAGTAGATACATCTAAATATGATTTCAAGACAATTTTTAAAAACAATTTTTTTTGCCACAGCCAAGCCACATAAAGTTGTATCCTTACTACTACGGTACCATATTTAAGCTCGAATGGATGACACGTATGGAAATTATATTCAAGTCTTATCCAATTTGAATTAAAATGAACTGATAGGAGAATGAATATAACTTTATGTTAACCTATTTGAACTAAACGTTGCTAAAAAGTAGAAGAACATGACAATTTGGTTGAAAGGCGTGTCGAAAACAAAAATTAATACCTTTTCTATTCATAGATTCTTCTAAAAATGAAAATATATTGGGAATATAATTATACTAACGTAAATTTAAATCTGTAAACTATAGTTAAGGAAGGATACATTAATGTCGCATCCAATTTTCTATACAGCCTTCATCAGAGAAGTTCCTCCACCTTCATCTACGACATTCATTACCCAGCCAACAACGTTTTTCTTAGATAGTATATTCCGTTCTCATGCTCATAGTATACCGTACTCATGCTCATTATTCGGTTGTTTACTTTTCTAGCGATGAAGATGTTTATTATCAGAAGGAATACTCACTACAGCATTTACTTTAATTTCTTTAAAATTAGCTGTATTCACAGCTGTTTCCTCTTGGGATCGATCTGTATCAGACTTTAGTTCAGCTTTAATTGCTTCCGCTTTATGCATAGCTTACTTCTCATTTCCATGATACAGCGTTAATCTACACATTTGACCCCTTCAATTTGTTACCACCTAAGGCTTTCTAAAATTAGACAACTTTCAGAAGACAATACAATACTCTCAATAGGAGGTTGGGTTATCGTCTTGCGTTGTAATGGGGTACACTTACTGCCGATAGTATAGGACCGGTGACTATATATTTCGACAGTCAGGCGGCGCTCAAGGCATTAAAGTCGTGTACTATAAACTAAAAAGCGGTTCGTGATTGCAAAGGCTTGCTCGAGGAGGTTCACAGTCGTCCGATCCGATTAAAGATCTGTGCAACCGCCCATTGGCAGAATCCGCTTGGCAACAGATGATCATGAGAACCTGGTTGCAGAATCTCGAAAGCTATCTGGCCAGAATTCTCTCGCCGAAGAAATTCTCCGCTGTTGTCACATAATAAGAGTGAGCTTAAAATCATTGTGAGGGCCACTGCAGGATCAAATCTCTCACTTCAAAATGGAACACCAAAGGAGAGGATTACTGTCGTCTTTGTGAGAACGAAGAGGTGCTAGAAACAATTGAAAATATCCTCTGTAGGTGTCCATCGCTGAGTGTTACAAGATACAGACATTTTGGAAAATATGAAATTGATATTCTAGCTTTCTTCTCCAAAATAGAAACCAAATAGATCCTAGGTTTTGTCATGAATTTGACATGGCTAAAATAACAAGTTTTCGAAACTCTTCAACTCCGACTACCTTTCCTCTTTTCAAAAATCTTTTATTTTTTCTTTTCTGGTACCAAGGATGATCACATAATGGACAAATGTCTCTGATTGAACGGTTGCTAATTAGCAGCCATACATCCCTAACCTAACCTCACATTACCCCATCAAAAATCTCTTTTTCGACCTAAACATTAGAATTTTCATCTACATTCTGGCGATCGACTTCTTATTCCTGTTTTCTAAGATCCCTTCCGTCATCTTCCCTTTTCTTCAACTGGCACATAGATCCTGCCTCCCTAAACTACAGGGTTTCTTTTTATTTCTGCCTTCAGTTCGAAATTGATTTGTTTATCCGTAATCCTGGGTGCAAGTTGTTGCAGTTCTTCAAATCTGTCTTTAGTAATATTTTTCCCTCTCTTGCCCATCAAGTCTATTTCCCCAGGACTCTCTTGAAAAAATTGGCTCTTTCTCTATATCAATAACAAACTCTCCTCCTTTTTGTAATGGCGGAAATATGCGCAATTTTTTTATTTTTATTATTGAATCTGATAATATAGAGTTTGAATTATATAGGCGTATGGCAAGAGATAGCACCACCCAGACGAAATTTACAAAACTAAATAGGCTATGCTTTTATGCAGCGATAGATGTCACCCCTGTCACATAGGGCGGAATCAGTATATCAATTATCTTCTTAGAGGAGTAACAGAACAAACAATTTCAAAGTGGGCCTATATTCACTTAGAGCTACATAGTCAAATATGCGGAAAAAAACTATCGTTAAGTGAATTATTGAACTTAATAACTTCAGAATTATTATTGTTAATTAGAATTACAAATACATTACAAATATTGGGCTCTGACCTAAAATTTCATTGGACGAAATCAGTTTCGGACACGTTGGAGTTGATAACGCTCGAAGGGAGTGATCGGTTTCGTTCACACTTTGCACATTGTAATTATTTCTGTCAAACTGTAATGAAGTTCGAAGATGGGAAATATTGGTCGCTTTCTCCAACATAAAATTAACAAAATGTTGATGAACATTAATTTTCAATATATGAAAGTGTTGAGGGTACAAAAATGTAGTGTCGATACGTTGTTTTTTTTTTCTGAATATTTTATAATTTATGCTCTTTCTAGGGTTGGGCAATCTAGTTCCTTGAGCGGTTCGATTTTTTATGGTTCGCACCGCAAAAGAACTAGGTCGTTCCTTTAGTTCATACTTCATCTTAGTTCACTCGTTCACTGGTACACGACAGTTCGTTCGGTTAATACAGTCGTTCATGCTTCTTCTTTTATGCCTGAATGATGTACAACGTTTATTACATGGAATATTTCATTCATAAATAGAAGAAAGAGTCAACTAATGTTAGAAATACACAACGGGGGCGAAAATAACTGGGAGAATAAGAGCAAAAAAGAACGACGGAGTAAAAAGAACTAGATGAACGAGAGCAAGAAGGAACGACTAGCGCATAATGGACTAGGTGAACGGGCTTAGTTCAGATCGTTCCTAGTTCGGAATATTTCGTTCCGGAACGACACAATTCTAATACATTCTAAATATTGTCCAAGCTATGAAAATATACCCCCGTCTAATTTTTATACCCTACACAACTATTTTGTCAAGGTATTATAGCTTTGTGCACCCCCAAAAGTTTGTAACGCCGCGAAATATTGGTCCTAGACCCACCTTTAAGTATACCGATCGTCATATCTCGACTAGCTGAGTCGATCTAGATATGTGTGTCCGTCCGTCTGTCCATTATAATTTGTACAGGCCACAGTTATGGACCAATCTTCTTGAATTTTTGCATGTAGGATGGATGAAGACCCCTATGGTTTTTGGTAAAGATCGGTTAATATTTAGGGGATGAAATGGACCACATATTGAATTTTTGTCGGTTTTTCTGGTCGTTCCAGCAGTCACAATAATGGCCCGAACTTCGTGAAATTTTACATGGAGAAGGGGGTCGGAGCAAAGAATAAACATGCCTGTTTTCATAAAGATCGGTCAATATTTAGCGGGTCAAATGGACCCTGACTTTTGTGTGAAAAATGACAGAATTTGTATTATATAGCGAAGAACATAGACCCGAGAAGTTGACTATATATCCAAGAGGTTTGGTTGGCATTTAAATTGATACCAATTATATTGTCGTATATACTCGGATGTGGAATTTGCATGTAAATATTTACAGGTACTTACGTATTCCGATATTATTTAGTAAACCATTACCACATTGGAAGGCGGAAATATAGCGCAGATTACTTTTAAATGTTCCATGAGGTTCCAGTTATGGTCAAGGACAACGCCTATAATTTTCGATGATGATCAGATAATAATTTTGGAATGAAGTGGACCGAAAACTTATTTTTGTATTTTTTTCGAGTCGATTTATAGGCCGCAATTGAAAGCCGAACATCATAGCACAAACCACGGTGAAGGGAATCTGGACAAATAATTAGAAGAGGGCACAAATATCGCAAAATATTGTCCAAGCTCAGAATAAAGTACCAACGAAAGTTAGATTTTCATGGAAGTTGTGTAGGGTATAATATGGTCGGTCCCGTCCGACTATACTGCTCCGCTCACTGGTTACTATTTATAATAATTTATCAATGAAAGTTTAGTTTGTTTAAATTACACTTAAGAATATTTTCGACCTAAATATCTATTACTACACAACTATTTTGCATATTAAACAACAACAACTATGTCCAGTATGATCATTATAAAGTTTCCTTTATTTTCTCTTTTCTTCTTCTTCTTCTTATTTTTATTACCCATTAAATTTGTAGTACCACCAAGGATTCATCATATGAGCAGCAGCGGTCATTTGCAAGTTAAAAAAGGTTCTTCGGTTCGCATAGAATGTTCAGCCTCTGGTAATCCTACACCAAACGTTACATGGAGCCGTAAAAATAATATTTTGCCCAATGGTAAGATTTTTGTTGCTTTTGTTGTTTCTTCATTTTTCACATCTTTTCTCCTTAACTGTGAATATGTTAATGAGCCAAGAACATAGACAAAATTCCAAGAAAAACAAAACCTAAATAAAATATTAGAAAACTGTGTAGAAAAAATTGTGAAATCTTAAGGGTCATTTTTATTTGAAAAGTAAATATTTCCTTTATGGTAATTTTTAGCTATTCATGATTTTCTTTATTGTTGGTATTTTTTTTCTTTCCCTTTCTCTGTATGTCTTTCTGACTCCCCTGATGCCTGCCGAAACTTTGGTGGAACTTTTTAATGCCATTGTGAAAACTATGCGGCACCACAGGCGAGGAAAAACTCCATTCGCATATATTGTCAATTGAAAATGTGGATCGCCACAAGGGTGGAGTTTACATTTGTACAGCTAATAATGGTGTGGGTCAACCGGCCTCCAGTCAAGTGATTTTACATGTTTTATGTAAGTATGCTAATGAAAGGAACAGCCAAACGAATGAAATTCATGGTTGCGTAGGGGCGATATGGTTGGCCGTATCCCCTGGCCAGGAAACCATTCGAATATATTTTTATTGTATTCTATTTTAATAATTTTCGATTTTCCTTTTTTTATTTTTTCTTGTTTGTTTATTATTGTAATCGTTATCAGACATGTGGGTTATTGAAAATTAATTTTTATTTTCTGTACCATTTTTTGCACTACAATTTTATTCGTATAGATCCTCCAGAAATCAATGTGGAACGTCCAGTGGTCTTCTCTGGGGAAGGTCATGAGGCAATGCTTGTGTGTATTGTGCATGGAGAAACACAGCCTGAGGTATGAATTGCTTAAATTTATTTTAACATATTTTTATATGAGTTTGTTTATGTAACATAGGATGGTGTAACAGTAGCAGGTGGTAATTGGTCTATATTGTAACTAAGAAACATTAATATGCTAATTCAATGACCATTGCAAATTTTGTAAGCAATTTTTCGGATGAATATTTTTGGTAGCTCCCAATTCAATAGCGTGGTTTTGGCATGTAGGTTCGAAAAGTGGTCTTAACAAATTACTAGCAACAATAAATGCAAATTCGTAGAATCACTTAAGAAATTGAGAACACAAAGAACTAAATAAAAGTCATTTTCCCATGAAATGAAATAAATAAAAATAGAATCCAAAAATTGTATAGTAGATATCATATGGCAATCATAAACACTGTTTTCTTCAAAAAAAGTCTTCACACCCTTCACTGGAAGGCACATTCATAATATTCAATTTAAATCCCATAGTAAATTGCTGCCAGGAGACAATTAAGTCCAAGCTACAAACCCTCAGGTTGGAAAATTTACCTTGGACCTTAAATATACCGAAATAACTGCATGATATTTGTAACGAAGCTATGTAGAAGCATATACTTAAATTGAAAATATTCTGGGAAAAGTGAATTCGGCGGGAAGCTGTCCCTAGAGCCCAGTAATTAAAATTAGCTGTGCATTCAGTTATGAGTTACAGGATGTTACATATTGAAGTGAACAAAGAGAAAATTTGGTACATTTTACAGGTTTTCTTTGATAAAGACGAATATGCAAGCTAAAATTGGGAATGGTGTTTATGGCTTCGATATCCGGCAGAGCTAGTTTACGTGCAATTTTGGTTTCGTAGATTCCGTTGGGAATTTTAATGTAAGATGCACCTCGCACAGATAGGCCGGTCGATAAAGTCAAAGAAATGATCGAAGTCGACCGGCATGTTAGCAGTC